AAAGGTTTTTAAGACTTAATTTCTTTATTTATTACTTGTTTTATAATTGCTACAACCATATTGGACTATTAGCATAAGGTTTTTAGAGACTGTGACTCGCCCGCCTTGAAATCCGACTTCATTCTGTGCACAAATCAAATCCACCACCAGCCATCCTTAAAGGAAAAAATAACATTTGCACCAAGTTTTTTGCTCCCAATGATTACATTTCATCACTGTGTTTACATAATGACAATAAAATTTGTCTAAGAAGTCTAAGAAAAGTGTTTTGGGGTTAACATCATGTGAAATAAAAACATGAATTATGCTTGATATAAAATGAGAAATATTAAAAACAATAGAATTATTTTGGTTTTAATTATTCAATGTTGAAAAGCAACATTTAGTCGTAATTGTCCTTTCTTCTTTGTTTGAATTGTGCAACCGCGGATTTTCTCTCTACCTTCTGGTATTATGGATGGGCGTTACTTATTGATTGGACTGCAGGTACAGCTGCACAGGAAATTAAATCACAGTCTAAAAATCAGCAAATTCACAGTTTCACAGAGTTGCTTGGATCACATATTTGTTCAGTTTTTAGATTACTAATGCGTTCCCTCTGTGCATCCTAACCATATATTTAGTCAGTTGGATGGGCTTTTCCAACCTTTGATTGCCTATGATAGAAGTTTCTAACTGTGTCAATGTGACTGTAGCAGCTCACAGAAAGCGACAGAAACATGACTACAGTTGTGAAAAATGGAGGAGGTGAAAGGCGGCTTAGTTGCAGCTGATATCGTCATTACAATATTCAACAATGTTTTCACAATATCATGTACCTAGTTGCAAGACTTGTTTCTTTTTCAGAAATGCATATTTATACTTAAGTGCCTCACCTATAAGGCTTTGTAACTTTGAAAACATGAGAAGATGCAATGGCTCATGAGGTAATTACCCCTCTGAGTTGGTGTGTTTGCAGCTGCAGGCTGAAGCAGGGTTTCCCTTTAGGTGGCTCTCCTACTAAGGTCAGTAAACAGCTAATGGCATTTAGAGAGAAGAGGATGAAAGAGATGGCACTTGGTTGTAGTCAGCTGTGCACTACCTTTGTCTTATTGTGTACCGTCTGTCTTAATCTCCCAGCCTCCCCTTTCGCACCACAAGGTGATCATGTTATTAGATCCCCTCCCTCGGCTCATTTGTCATCCGGCAGCACTGCTGCTCAAGAAAGGGACGGCGAGGCGAGAAAAAGAAAACATCACAAAAAAGGGAAGGAACTATAACATCATATGTTCATCATTTACTACCTAGGAGTCTGTATCTTTTCTTTCTTCCAGAATTGCTTCTTTACAGTTTTCTTTACTCGTATCATATCGACTTAACCCGGCTTGCGCACTCAACACACATGTGCTGTGCATGCACACTATGACTCCCACCTACACTTTGACTTGTGGGAACTGCTACAAATAAAAAGTATTGCCAGTGTTCAGAGCTTCTGTCACTTCCTCAGCCACAGTGCTTTAATCTCTCCTTTTCTTTTCCTTTTGCTGCTAAGGGAGGGAGTCAGCTAATTACAATAAACAAATATACTCAGAGATGCCTATGCGGGGCTCACATAGGTTAACAACTCAGCTATAAATGTTAAATGAAGCTAAAATAGCTTACAGTTGCCATAGCGATTCTGGCTGTGAATCTTTGTGTACTTTGTAGGTTAGAAAAGTTTGAATTAATCTTAGAATCTGTCATACAAAGAAAAAAAAACAGTCACTGCTGTCACTGCCTCAAAGGTCTTTTTGACGTCTCAATCTGGGTATTTGTTTTTTAGTCTTTTACTCTCGCTCTGATATCTGCACTGCTGCATTAGTCACATGTGAGTTAATCTATCCAAATACTCTTCATAACCATGCTTCTTCCTGTCTTTGTGCCTTTTTTTTCCCAACAGGTGGGACTGTCAGGATGATGCTTAGGTGGAGCAGCGCTGAGCCGTATTGATGGATGTGTTAGCAGACAGCAGTCTCACATTGATTGTGAAGACTTCAGAACCGGAGAATGCAAATTATGTGGAAAATACAGGTACCAGCATCTCTAACATGTAATTTGTTTTACTTAACGTATGTGATAGAGCAAAAGAAAATGGTGAATGATTTCATTAACTGGAGGATGGGATTCAATGTTTTCTCTTTTTGTTAAGAAAAACTAAATAGTATGGTATTAATTTGTTTTCAGCATCCTTTCATCTCTACCCTAAACTGAAATCCAGTTAAAAGCAATGAAATAGTAAATAGTATGGGAAAGGAGAAACGTTTAAGAACAAACAGCATCATGAAGATCAGGGAACACAGGAAACAGGTTAGGGAGAAAACTGTTGAAACGTTTAAAGAAGGGTTCTGATAGCGTTTAAAAGTGCAATGATTAATCCATCATCTGAAAAGGGAACGTGTTTGAAGAGACTATAAACCTTCCAGGATTGTTGTTCAAGAAGCTTATGGTAACTCAACAGTAGTTGCAGAGATCCAAAGCTTAGGAGGAAGATTCCGTTCACAAAACCACATTTGTTTTTCTACTGTACAAATCTCGCCTTTATGGATGAGGGACGGTGAAAAGCAATTTTTAAAAAGTCCCATTTGTAGCTTGTCGCAATCCATAATCAAGAAAGTGCTATTTGTTGATAAGATTAAAATTTAATGCTAGATCTACGTTTAATGGGATACGTGTGGCATCAAACTCTCTCACGGTACCCTCAAATAAGTATCCTCACCAACAAAGAAAAATGGTGGTGGCTGCATCATGCTGTGGGAATGATTTCTAAAGTAAGGACCGGAAGCTGATTAGAGTTGATTGCATTTAATATATCAGTTAATATCAAAAACTAAAAGAGAAATCAAAATGAAAAATGAATTCAGCTGTGCTCAGAGTAATCTGAGAAAATAACCAACTAGAGGCTTGACAAGAACCGATACTGAGGTGGATGTTAATTTACCAGCAGGACCCAACCACACTCAGACAAAAACTGGCTAATCCCAAAGACAGAACACTGGAACTAAAGCTGAGCACAAAGGACTGCTTGGACTCCTACACCAGAGAAACCATTAGTCTGTACGGTTGTACCCGAAGAACAAAGGACCAACCTTTAAAGACTAAAGTGATTGATTTCAAATGATTTTGAAAAGTGAGGCAAAGGAAGCCGCCTATGTTATAAGAGCAAAGTGGTCTGAACAGAGGGGGAAGATTGTGGTTTCAGCTCCCAAGCATCTACAACTCTGTCCTTCCAAAGAAGTTACCAAGCAGTCATGAGTCAAAGTCCAACAGACTTTATCCAACCAGAAAAATGATTTGCTTCGGACTTGGACTTTATTAAGTATGATGGGTCTCCACATGCTTAAAAACATCAGCTCTCCAACTACAGGTTGTTGTTATGCGAGCTGACAGGTCTGATAAAGACTGTTGAATGGGTGTCGAAATGTTTTCAGAAAAACTAAGTGAAGTCCTGTTGACTCCAATTTAAGCCTGATTTGTGGCTACCAGCAGGACATTTACCAGAAGGTGAGATCCTTTGAGAGAATTCCTGAATGTTGTAGGCCCAACTGTCCTGTGGTTAGAATTTATTATATAAATTTATAAAGCAGCTGCGTTGATGTATGGCCACATGTCCTCTTGGTTGCACCGTAGGTCACTGAGTTCATTGTCAGGCTTGTTTTATCTTATATTTTGCATACTAAAGTGAAACAATTAGACCCTTCTAATTTAATAAACATGCAAAAGAAAAAGATTAGAACGCAGAGAAAAAAACAGTAAAAAAGAGGAATCCCTTCCATTTAAAAAATATAATCATTGTTGGGAGCCCAGGGAGCAGTGTGGGGTTAAGGGGCTTGCTCAGAGACACAGAGTGGCGGTCTGTGGGAGTGGGGTTTGAACTCAGAACCTCAGGATTCCAAGCTCTATGCCCTAACCACCAGGCCGCCACTCCCTATTCAATTAGATCCAGTTAGTTTGTTCTCAGATGTTGTCTTGAGCACAAACTTTGGGAGGACCCCTAGATTCTTTAGAGGTTGATTATTGAAAAGTGTCTTTTTATACTGAAAATAAATTTATGTTAAAATCAACTCCCCACTTTTGTCATTATGCAATCAGATAAAAGACCCCTGAAAAACCAAGTGCCAAATGTCAATCCAACCCTACCCCTGTTTACCAGATACATAACGAGAGCTATAATGGAAACATTTAGTATGGCCCAGGCAAATTCCAGCTCTAAATCCAATTAAGAATCTATGGCTAATTTTGAAACCAGGTTGTCTGCTTGTGTGTCGCAGTGAAAGCAAATTTGCCTCTGCCCCTGCCGCAGACACTGCTGCTGCACCTCTCCAAATTTGTAGTTGACCACAGACAGTGCTGCAGACAGGAGGCTTCTGATTGGTCAAATCTACATCCGCTCTACATTATGCATATTTCCTGTTTGGTACCTTAGCAGCTTGTTTTGTTTGTATGACCGCCATGGTGGAAAACGACTCAGGAAGTTGGACCAGTTAGAAGAGCGAGGTCCTCCGTTGTCGCACAAACTTGCTCCCACATCTTCTCCGTCTCGGCAGTATCTAGATCCACAGCTAGTTTGTGATTGTCCCTCTTGCGTTGTAGTGTGGAATAACATAGCGCAGACCACTCTTCATTATAGGGCATAGATTAAAAATATCTGCAACACGCTCACTGCGACACACTGCTGCGGGGAGTAGAACCAGCCCTTTACTCTAATAGACTTGTACATGTAAGGTTCAACAAACAACTTAGCATAGAGGGCTGAGCTACAATGCACGTATCTATTGTCTGAGTTCTATTTGAGAGAATCTTTGAAAAAAAAACACTATGTGGTTTCTATTGCTTTTAACAAATATGCAGTATTTAGTGTTAAACCCTTAAAATATGTAATTAGGTTTGTGGTTTGGAATATTTCAAAATGTGAAAAAGGGAAGACAAATTAATCTTTCTGCAAGGCTCTGTCAGCACACTAATAATTAGGTTTCATTGACAGTCACCATTTAACTTAGCATGCATGCATGTGTTTGGAATATAGAAAATGTGGAAGATAGTCACGCATTTCTAAAGGAAAAATGAAAACTCCTCCTAGAAAGGGCTCAGCTGTGATTTGAACCCTTTGCTGTTTTTTTTTTCTTTGAGACAGCTGCACTAAAAACCAATAAAACAATGTCTTATTTGCCTACTGTGTTTCAGTTTTTGATCTAAAAGGACATTTTTTCCAAAGCACAGCTGAGCTTAAATTAATGAAAGCTTTAAATAGACAATTAGTCTTACCATGCTTGTGAAATAGCTGTAAGGAATTCATTTTTTACCCTTAGTTTTAAGCTCTTGGACAAAAACAACCCCTAAAAAACAGAGACAGTGCAAAGACAGCTTCTTTCAAAGGAGAAAAGATGACAAAACATTAATGAGGGTTTATTCAGCTATTGTTAATCCTCTCTCCTTATGCATCTTCAACTCAAAAATATTAGTTTAAAAATTTTGTTATTAAAAGCTGCAAATGTGAACGCAGGGAGAATGTTATAGGCTCAAACACATTTTTTATCTCATGACCATGACAAAATAGATGCCTTTAAAAAGTCTAATTTTCATAGATGAGTTTGTTAATTCCCAAAAACTAATTCTAGGTTAAACCTTTTTGTTATTCTACCAAAGGTTATACTTCTTGTCATGTTTTCATAATAGGGGCATCTACACACATTGCTTCACATGTATGGTTTATTAGAGTGGTCTATGTAATATTATCTATTATGTCTTAATAGATTAAAAAAATCTAATATATTTAATTAGACAAAAATAAATAGATTCTGTTTAAAATTCAGATTTGAATTGGCTACGTAGAAAAAAATAGATCCAAAACAAAAATGCCATATGTGAAAGTCTAATAACTGGTTGTAACGCCTTTAGATACAACATTAAGGTTTCCTTTGATAAATGACACTGTATCACGTCCATCATTTTTATACTGTTTTTACATTGATTCAATTCACCCGTATTAGGGAGTTTTTATCCACAAATGACCTGTTTACTAGGATGTCATGCCAAATCTATTGGATTGACTTTAAATTTATAACCTTAAATTTCCCTTATTGAGCCATTAAGAGGAGGTTTTGAATTGGATCACTGTCCTGCTGTGTAACCCGTGTAGTTTTGATGAAAAAAATTACAAACTGATGTCTAAATTTTGTCCTTCAGGATTTCCTGCTGTACGGAAAAGATAATTTCACCATTTCTAGAGCAATAAAGAAGCCCCAGAACATCACACTTTCACCACCGTGTCTGACTAAACGTGGTGTTGGAATAAAGGAACATTTTGCAGGACACACACTTCTAAAACTCTGTCTCTTCATTTCCTAGAATATTTTCCCAAAAGTGATTTTTCGGTGTGCTGCAATTTCAATTCGATTCAATTCACTTTATTTATATAGTGCCAAATTCACAACGCATGTCATCTCAAGGCACTTTACAGTTCAACCAGATCATACAGTCAAATTGATTCAAAGTTTTCTATCTAAGGAAAACCAGTTGATTGCATCGACTCATTGACTCAAATACAATCCCTCACACTAAGCATGCTTGTAGCGACAGTGGAGAGGAAAAACTCCCTTTTAACAGGAAGAAACCTCCAGCAGAACCAGGCTCAGTGTGAGCGGCCATCTGCTGAGGCCGACTGGGGTTCAAGGAGACAGAAGCAGAGATACAAAAAGCAGCTGTAAAAGGTGGCCCCGTCCAGGAAATACACAGCTAGGCAGACGAGCTCTGAGCCAGCTCCCATGCCAGAGGACGAAGAGAGCACATCCAGTTAGTCACGGTCAGAGAAACAGGACCGCTCTGGAAAACAGGCCGATCTCCAGCATCTATAAACAAGGGTGTTGATGGAAGCAGCACAGCTGATGTTTCTCTCCAGGATGGCGTCACAGCCAAACAGGAACAGACGAGGCAAAGCTACTCTGAGGAAAAGCAGAGAGAGCATAACATTAGAGATTAAACTAACAGATTCTACAGAATAGGAGAATAGAGAGAGAATGAAGCAGAATTCTGCA